TGTCCTTAGGAAAATCTACCCTGATGACTCCTTTGGAATCCCAAAGCGTCGTTAGCAGGCCCGTCCACACTGCGCTCTGTGGAGAAGCCCCCAAAAGTGAACTCAGGCAGAGGCCAGCACGGAAGGGCATGGCAGCGATTTGGGGAGATTCAAAAGAAGTCATGTTGGTGGATTTTCTTGAAGGAACCCGGACATTCACAGGGGCTTGTTATAATGAACCCGCACTGTGAAGGAGGTTTTGAAAAACATCAAGGGTAAATTCAAGTCAACCTTCATTAAAATACTGGATCCATCTAAGTACTTGTTTGACATGGGGCAATATTTCTATAATTTTGTTCCAAAACTTCAGTGCTTTGGATAACTATTTATATAAACTTGTTCCAAAGCTTTCAGAATATGTCCACCTGAGTTTTGTTAGAAATGGTCTATTAGCCCTTACCAAAATAATTTTTTTCCCTCTGGCACAAAAAAAGCATCCCTTTTTTCAGAATAAGATAAGTATATTACTGAGAGAGTTTGACTGCAGAAGCATGTTAAAACATGGCTTATGTGGCAGCAATCCTTTTTGACTTATTGGTGTATAGTCTGCAGGTTCCAAATCCTCATACTCGATCAACTATGGATTGAAATATCAGGGGAGAAGTAAGGGGGTTGGGGGCAGTGGATCCCTCAAAGACTGAACGGAAAGATAAAGTGTTGTTTACATAGCATTTACATTGTACTGGGTTTTATAAACAATCTAAAGGTGGTTTCAAGTATACAGTAATATGCGCGTGGGTTATATGCAAATACGATGTCATTTTATATAAAAGACTTGAACGTCCAGGGATTTTTATGTCGGGAGGGCATTTTGGATCCTCCGCACACATGCATCCTTGAAGAACCATTATGGTGTATATCAATGATGAGCCTTGTAAAAAAATTCAAAAACAAATTCACTGCCATTGAGTTGAGTCCAACATATAGAGACCACATAGGTGGATAGAACTGTCCACGTGGGTCATAGAAACCCTCATTTTTCTCCAGCCGGTGGTTTCGAACTGCTGACCTTGTGGTTAGCAGTCCAGCATGTAGCCCCCCTAGAGTTCCAGGACTCCTCCCCTGTAGACAAAGAAAAGAATTCTGTCACCTTCAGTGTGTTCTTTGAAGTTACCAGGCTGTGCCAGTGTAGGAAAATAGGAAGGCCCTTTGATAATACATGCTCATGCCTTTTTTTTTAATGCCTAAAAACTCTCAAGCCCTGTCCCTCTTTTTGTCTCATTTGGATAGATACATTTTAGAATATGCGACTTTCTGCAACCAAGGTCTCTCAGAATAGATGTCTGTTTTAAATTCAGGATGACTTTATAGTGCATTAAAACGAAATTAACTGGAAGACATAATCGCATCTTCTAAAATACTAGGAGATGACATCCATTTTTATTTTCCAGTCTATTATTCTAAAAGCATTTTAAAAATATAGTTCAAGCATCCTAGTTGGTTATATGTAGATGTGAGGGAACTTGAAACAGTGAAAATTTTCCATTATCTTTTAATTCAATTTTTCTATGAACCTTCTGAAGCCCTCTTGTATTTTAATTTAAAGGAATATTGGTCAAAGCCCAGAAGAAAGAAAATGTGAAGTTAATTCAAGAAAGGAAATACAGTGATGAGCCAAGTGCTGCCCCCCTCTTACTCCACTTTTGTCTGCACACTCCCACTCCCTTTCATATCTAGACGTGAACTGTGGTTATGAGCTTGCTGTTGAGTCAATTCCAACTCCTAGCGACCCTACATGACAGGCTAGAACTATCACATAGGGTTTCCCACGCTCTTATCTTTACAAAGCAGATCCCCTGGAGCCAGAGGTGGGTTCAAACCATGAACCTTTTGGTGAC